GAGGCAGGCAATTTATTTGATGGACAGGGAGGAGGAGGAGGAGGAGGGCTGCAGTAGATGAAATTATTACACGTGTAATAATTTCATTCACAGATTTTGGGAACTACAAAGTTCTATTTTAGGATTAAAATGAATGAATCAAATTTCAGTGCTTATTGCCATTATTGGGGGACAGGGTGTCGCACTACCCTCCTTTGAAATGCAACAGGATTTTCAAGGGAAATTCTGGAATGTAGCAAGAAAAGAGCATTCAGAGACTAAGTACATTTCTCAAAAAAAGCCAAAGTCATGAAGATGAAATGCTAACCAGAAAAGATTAATCCCAAGAAGTTACTTAAGTCTACACAGAGCATGAAAACTACATATCTTTCCCAAACTGATGCTCTTCAAATTATTATAGGATTACTATAGGATGAATTCCAGAGAATATTACTCAAGATGGACTTCTATTAGAGAGGACAGATATTTGCATCTTTTAGTTAGGTTTTTCTCCCCTGCACCACCAAGCCAGAAAAATGTTGTGTTTCACTTAAAGAAGCCTCTTGCCCTGCAACTTACATAAAAACTGCGTCCTTTTCTACCACTAAGGCAGGGTTTGCAAAGTGAAAGCCGTATTTTTTATGTACAATGTACTTATATAACAATTCAAGGTTCTTCTCCTCCTTAACGGATGTATAGATCAAGGCCGCTCCATCTATTCATTTCATTTAAGGAAAATTCCAAGCAGAGTAGTGAATGTCAAGTGCTAAATGTATACCTTTAAGTCTCTAAAAAACAAGTGTCTGTTTCTAAATGAAAAATTTTAGTTGCTAATTTTACATCCTGCGCCTTTATCTCAGAAATTCAAGACAATATGTTGCTGCTTTCTCCTCTTTTCCCCAGAGCAGCCCTATGACAGTAGCAGAACAGCTAAGCATTGGCCACCCGTCTTAACACTTTACCACCATACACCGTATGTTTATTTACAGTGTATTGATGTAATGGGCCCAAATGTTAATGATTTGAAACAGTCCATCCTTTTAATTTTAAGCCCAAAGAAAGGAAAGTAGTACAATACAGAAATGAACATGTTAAAAGTTTTCAAACTCAAAAAAAAAAAAAAATTACACTAAGGCTAAAGCAGTTTAAAGAAATACAACCTTTCCTAAAGGAGCCACATTGTTCCCTAGCAAAATGAATGTATTAATGTAAACATAATTCACCAATTAACTAATTGTACTTGCAGCCTAATCCTATAAATGTGACTACTTAAGAGCAGATAGTAAGTAGCAGGCTGATCTGGTAGGCAGGATCCAGGAAAACAGCAAGATTTCTCTCAAGAGTCAACATTCATGGGATTGTACTGTTCACTGCTAGATAGAAAACGTCTAAAATTTGTGTGCATTTACCAGCCATTACTGGAAATATAAAACCTCTCACCATAACCAAGAAAATGGAAGATGCTGGTGTCAGCCCTGAAGCCATTTTGGGGACATCTTCAGGGCTGCCACAGAGAGGCCTGGTAGAGCTGTGGGAACATAAGGGGGAAGTAGAGATAGCTGGAAGATGCGTAGCCAAAATAACATCCTTGTGGGAGCCAAGGATGCTCTACCAGGTGTTGGAAGGGTGTGGACCAAAGCCAGCCGCAGTTGGGACTACGACCTGATTGGACCATGTGATGGACATATGACCTGGAGGACAGGGACTTTGGACTTTGATTTGGGTGGGGAAAACTCTGGGCCCTTCAGAGTCGGGTTTTCACCAGCTGTGCCAATATGACATCCCAAATAAATATATTCTTTGAGAAAGCTCCAGGGCCTCGGAGTTTTGACTGCTTTGGAGTTGGAACCCTGACAGCTGGCCTTTGTGGTTTTAAATTTGAAGGTGTGCTCATGAAATGGAAGAAAGGCAAACGAAACATAGATGTGACCATTTTTCAATAGTGGAAACAAAACAAAGAACAGAACTGGATTCACATTAAACATTGTTTCAGTTTATAAAGTACTGCTTTAAGACACCACTTCATCTTTTTTAAAAAAGGATACACTGCAAGCAGAACCTACGAATGTGCGACTGAATGAAATCAAAGTGTTCTTCCCTGTAGTCGTGCTCTTTTTCTAACACACTCATTGCGTCACACTGGGGGGAAAAAAAATCAAAGGAATTGCAGGAGTTCTAGAAGTCTCCCACTCAATAAAATGATTTTTGCGTAAATGAATATTTAGAGCAAACTCTGAAGCTATTAAGGGGAAAGTTTCGATTATATTTATTCATTTAGTCCATTCATATAGCTACCCAATCAACATACGATTCAGGGCAATGCACACAAATAAAAACACACAATAACATTCTCCAATATTTTTCTGTTTTGAAAACATTGCATCCATGGCAGCTTTATTCGATTCAAAAGCATGCAACTTCTTAGACGGATTGCTATTTAAGCACACTTCAGCGTGTAAATTTACAACAGAGATCTCCTGTGATTTTGAATATTTGGCAGTATTGTCTAAAATTAGCATGTACAAAAGGGAAGCCTGAAAAAAAAAAAGGAAACAGGCGGAACTCAATGTTCTTCCTGGATTGTAGAGAATGGGAAGTTTGAGAGTTATTGAAATCAAAAAGAATATGCAAAAGTGTTCAAGGTATCATTACCAATGCTAATGTTAAAAAAAACAGGACGGACGGAAGGAAGGAAGGAAGGAAGGAAGGAAGGAAGGAAGGAAGGAAGGAAAGAAGGGAGGGAGGAAGGAAGGAAGGAAGGAAGGAAGGAAGGAAGGAAGGAAATATGAGAGAAGAGGAGGGAGGAAGGGAAGGAGGGAGGGATAAAACCATCTTCCCTGCAAGCTAGATTTCATTCTCTGAAGTAACAAGATTCAATTCCATTGTATCAATGGGTGTTTTTGGTAATGACTGGGATTTCAAGCTTACCTTTGTGCAAACTACCACCACAGGGATCCCAAGATTGTGAGTCAGCACATTCTCTCCGAGAGGTAGAGCAATATTCTCTTCATCTTGGCCTGATGGACCTCTTCTTTGTGGGGATCCCTGATAACCTCCTTCCGGTTCTACATATTCTTGAAAAATCTTCACAACTACAATAAAACATATACTTTTTTTAAAAAAATGTCTCTTATATTAAAAGCTATAGCTACCGTTTCAAATGTTCTTTATAAAAAAAAAAACACAGGTATTTGAAATTAAACAGAAAACTAGTACAAAGCACCTGCTTGTAAAAAATAATAAAATAAAAACATCATTTTTTTTTTCCTCAGAATACTTTTAATGTGTTTACCCGTTATCCCACTGTTCCAGATCTCCAAGAACCCTTCACAATGTAAAAAGAGTTTTTCTTCAAAACGAAAACGTTTTTCAAAAATGGATTTGGGTGGCTCATTCTGAAACGTTGTCGTTATTTAATGGCTTTTTCAATAAACTACTAGACAGCTAAAGGGGGTGGAAAAAAGCTGTATCTCTGCCAGGTTTCTGGAAGAGGAAGCCCTACAAGAATTTTACACATTAAAAATTCAAAAAACCTGAAGTGCAGAAAATAAGGCTTTTAATAAGGCTTTTAGAAACTGAAGTCCTAGCTTTTACACTTAATAGCCCAATGGCTGCAGATATTTTCAAGGTTGGTGGACAATACCTTTCCAAAAAATGCCATCCTTTCTATTTAATGAGATCTTCTCCAACAGGGGTGTCAAACTCAAGGCCCGGGGGCCTGATCTGATCCATGGGGTACTTAGATCTGGCCCGTGGGGCCACCCTAGAAACAGCTGGGGACTGACCCGCAGTGCTTTTGTCAGTGAAAATGGAGTTGGGTTGTAGGAGGCCATCACGGCCAAAACACGAGCTCGGGAACCCGTTTTCGCTGGCAGAGTACTCAGGACATCACAGGTGCCCCTGACGTGAGTGATGTCAAGCTGGCCACGCCCCCCGGCCCTCCCAAGGTCAAACACAACCTGAACAAACCTTCAATGAACTCAATGAACTTCAATGAAACAAGCCTTCAATGAACTCGAGTTTGACACCCCTGTTCTACATGATGAAACGTAAGATTATCTTGCCTTAGAAGAAAAAATGCCCCAAATAGTGAGAACATCATCAAATGTGAGTGCAAATTTATTATTAAATCCAACAGCACAAATGAAGCATTTTAAGTCACTGAAATCCATCTGTACGGAGTTTTAAGTTGGGGCCAAGTCAAATTTTGCTTTACCAAGAGGCAGGAAAGTCATCTGCAGCATTCCAAATGCTTCATCTCTAAACTGCTAAACATTGAAGGAGCTGATATTTTAAAAAGAGGCATCTGTACACAACCGCATTTATTTATTAACTTTATATGTCACCTGCATACAAACTCTGAGCAGCTTCCATTTATGCCAAGTTCTTACCCAGCTGTTTTATGTGATGCTTCCTTAACTAAGATAACAACTCCTGCCTTCTAGTGAGGAAAAGAACGCACAGTACCGTTCATCTTGTTGCCTTTTTCAATAGCTTTGGAAACTTTCACTTCAGGCACAGATACATAACAATCATTACTACATCCAGGGAATACACGGAAATGACTTGTGTGTTTTGAAAAATTCCAAAAGCAGCCTTTTTCTGCTGTAACAGACGTCTTCATTTAGGTTTGCGTATAAATGTGGAATGATACAATCTATCCACAGCACATACTTCAAGGAAGAAGAAAGGGATTCTTTTACCTACTGTGTTTGAAATTATTTATGGGTTTGATGAACTCACATGATACAGCTTCGGAAACCTTAAGGATTTTTTTCCCCACCAACAGCATAATATGAGCTCAGTGTCACATTGAGGCCAGAGGTGTTTGTGTCAAGTAGTGGAAGGTGCTTGCCAGAATATACTTCTTGAAAAAGATGACGGGGCCCAAATGTTTGGAATAGAAATGATGACACACTCACGTTGTTATTCTAACAAGAGTTGTTATTTTTTTAAAAAAATGTTTTTAAATGATTCTCTTGACTGAATCCCCCCCGCCCCCCATGGACCTCCACAAATTCCATAAGCCCCAGTTGCTTTTTTTATAAATCAACCATTATGATCATCACTACACTGCATACATGTGTGTCATGAAGAAACAAACTGGTTATTTGAAAATGCTATTTGATTCTGGACAATGGCTTTCTACCAAGTCAATGCCATGCACCAGATTTTCACCACTGCAGCCTCTAAAGTTCAGTGCAAGCACCATCCAATGCACATTGTAAGAAGAGAGCTTTGAGGACTGAAAATTTCATCTATGCTTTTGAAATAATTCTCAGAAACACAGTTTAGAAGATATATCGATCAGTAAATTGAAACTCAGTGTTAAACACTTGTGTTAAAATTCAACATCTTTTTAAAACACACACCTGTAAATAAACCAATCAAGTGATTGGTTTATTTACACTTACACAAGTGCACTTTACAGTTACAGTGCACTTAACAATCAATTCATTCTGTATGAATTGTAGGATAGTCTTCACTGACCACAATTGGGACCCACTACTGTTACTAAATGACATGGTTGATGAGCAAGACACCACGTGACCGAGATTTGCAATCATATTACAAGCTTTTCCATTGTCTCTGCTTGTCAATGAAGATACTCAATCATGCAGGTAGAACAGTCTGAAAAGTTGAGTCATGCCAACTTGGCTTTTCTTTTCTTTGAAACGTTTCGTTGCTTATCCAAGAAAAAAAAAAGCTCAATTGCCATGACTGACAAGCAAAGACAATAGGGCAGCCAGGTTTATTTAACAATCATGTTACTAGCTTAACAACTGCAAAGGTTCACTTAACGTTTATGGCAAGAAAAAGTCGTAAAATGAGGCAAAACTCACTTAACAAGTGTTTCATTTAGCAACAAAAATTTGGATCCTCAATTGTTATCCGTAAGTTGAGGATTATCTATACAACGACACAGCAATCTGAAAATACTTTAACTGGGCTTTGCACAAGAGCTGCCAAGAATCCATACTGGAACAAATCAATGTCTGCAGAAGCAGATTTTGCACAAATTAAAGCAAGAAGCCCAGCGATGCAAAACAGGGAAGGGAAAATGAGGTCTAAATTTATTACTAGGCAAACATCAAATCACACTTGACTATCGATAGCGGAAGATGATTTCCTGGAAAATCAGGGTAAATGCATGAAGTCTTTGCCATCAGCTTTGTATGACTTCCCTCTGTCACAACTGGGGAAAACAATTTCTCTTCAATCTCAACAAAAGCAGATTTGGGAAGCAGCTTCCATGATAACTTTTTCCCCTCAAATATTTCTTAAAGGGGAAGTAGCAACGTGAAAACCTGCCCTAGCTTAAGGTATTTAGATCTTAAGAGCCTTGGAGGCATGGTGGTTAAAATGCAGTATTGCAGGCTAATTCAGCTGACTGCTAGGAGTTCGATCCTTATTGACTCGAGGCAGCCTTCCATGGTCAGTAAAATGAGGGCCAAGATTGTTGGGGGCAGTATGCTGACTCTGTAAACTGCTTAGAGAGGAGCAGTAAAGCACTATGAAGTGATATATAAGTCTAAGTGCTATTGCCATATCCATATATTGTTTTTTTCTTACAAACCATGGAACTCTTGAGACACAATCCTGCTTAGAACAAATCCAAAGCTCTGCAATGTTACTCATGCAAGCTACCCTACCTGTATCAGCCCAACATTTATTTGACATTTAATTTGTATTGTAAAAGGAACAGGAGTATTATTTATTTACAGGCCTACTTTTCCAGATGACCAATTCTTCATCAGATGAACAAATACAAATTACATGCTATGTTACAAAATCCACATAATTAGCAATGCTGTTTAAAACAAAGAGACCCAAACACAAACTGCAGGCAGACCAGCAAGGTAGAAAGTGCTTAGTTAATGGACTTTTGGCCTGACTCAATATAGTTACGGGCATTCTTCTAAGTAAAGAGCAGAGACATTAAAGAAATGTCAGCCTCATGTAACTTACATTGTTGCTCCATGTTTCTCATTTCTTCCGGGGGGATTTTCAGTTTATCAATATGTTCCCGCAAGACGCTTGCCCATTTTTGTAAGGATTCCAGAATAGTCCATGGCCTAGACATATCTGCCACAAAGATTACGAGAGTCTCCTGCAACGATTCTGCTGTCACGGCAAACTTCAAGAGACCTTTGTGATACAAATCGCCATCGAGAATCCAAACGTTACAGCGGGTCTGATCTGCAAAGGAAACAATTCCTTTTAAGTAGGAAATTCTTCTCACATGAAAAGATATAACGTCCATTAACATACTTGGCACTGACAACGTTTAAAGCCAGCACTAAATATAGCACAACTTTGCTGCAAGGGAGACTACAAACAAGAATTCAGCATCAGAGAGGAAGAGAAAAAGGAGGAAGCCAAATAAGTATGAGAATGTGCAGCAATTTCAGACATTCTTATCTAAAAATACTAGGGATGGTCTTTCTAAATTGGCAAGGATAAATCTGGATAAATGGATAAATCTGATGGTCTCAGTTGCTTCATCTTTCTTAGTTTATTGCTACTATTTGCATCACTTTTTATACATGCTCAGTTCTACACTAATGTTCAGAAGTTCCATCAGCATTTCATCAGTGCCTGTGTTTTTCCTGATTCATGACTTCTGCAAGAAGTGTTTCTTTAATGTTGTGCCGTTTACTTGAATAGCATCTGTATTTAGAGGCAGACATCTCCTCGTGTAGGTTTTTACATAGTGTATGACTAGAGAACTGCACCACAAAATTCACAAAACCAGAACTATTTATCCATAATTACCCTTTAATATTTTGGGAAAATAAATTAGATCGGCTTGTCTTTACTGTGGTCACAAAAGACAAGGATGATGATCCAGAGTGTACCAGATTTGGAAATACTGCAGTAGTCAGCTTTTTTCAAAGGTGAGTTCTGAGAACAAGCTTAGAAAAAGTAGGGCAGCTAAAGCATTTTGACAAACAAATTTTAAATGCACCGGGCAGAAAGGACAAAAGGATCAAGTAATTCTGAAAGCAGTGAAGCTGGATGAGTGAATGTCAAAAAGGAAGCTTTCAGGTTGCACAAACGGAGCACCAAGGGGGTCAGGGGAAGGGCTGTGGAGGATTCTGAAAAATGTATTCAGGAGAAATGGACAGAAACCAGACTTAAATGAATAATGGATACGTACGTTCCACACACAACAAATGCTAACCGAGAGGATGAGGCAGAATGTACTAAATGTGGTAACAAATAATTAAGGGCCATATTTTGTGATGAGAATAGCATGTCTTGCTAATTGCCTGAATGTAGGCATCAAAGGAAAGAGAAAACAAACAAGACATAAAGAAAGTGAAAAGAATAAAGACACTTAAACTTCTGACATTCCACAGACCAATAGCACATTTGAGGTAAGCTGGCCTTGAACTTTAGGCAAAAGAAAGACAGGTAAAACAAGGACTTTACCATCTCTATCTTCATCATGGACATTTAGATATAGGTATTCCAGCCCTCTTCCTTTCTTGCCATGCTCTATTCCTTGGATTTTAGTCAACAGGGTTGTTTTACCAGAGCCATCATCACCTGCCAGTATGTTTGCAAGGAAGAGAAAAAACAGGAAGATAATCTTTAATTGAAGAACACATCATGCCTTTGAATTGACAAGTTGTACGTACCTTTACAGCAGCTGAAGAAACATTTCATTTTACAGAACAGCTAAACAAAGCAAGGCCTCTCTATGGTGCCAGTCTGCTGCACGCTTCTTCCGCTTTCTAACTTGTTAAATATCAATTACCTTTCATTTTCTCCTTCAAAAAGGAAACATGTTTAGAAAAGAAAAAATGGGGGGGGGCATTAAGCCTGTAAGAAGCACTAGAGGCCTTATAGGACCATGTGGGACCATAAGACCATGTGAAGCCTGGCTATATGTATATTCAACCTCTCAACAAAGGCTTTCGTCCAAATTAAATGGCTTCCCCCCCCCATCAGTTAACCTTTCTGGAGAACCAATAGCTTCCCATAGCTATTCACTGATACTCACCAAAGACAAGAATATTTTTGCCTGATGGTAATTTAGACCTGGAGCGGGTGGAGACTTCACTCAATATTGATAACCTGCATAAGTAACATTCTTTTTAGTCAAGGATGAAAGATAATACAGATTAAAAGAACAGGATGAATGACCAACCCCCCTCCCCAGAAGTAAAGGTCCATCCTTTAAAAAATGAATCAGCGCTTTTTTTTTTTTTTACTTTCTAAGGTTTTCATATGTCCAAATGTCATTTCCATACAGGAAATAAATATTTAAACCCTTGGGTCAGGAACAATTTTTTATATTTTACATTTATATTCCAGCATGTTAGGCCTTATAATATCAGACATAATAAGGCCTTATAATATCAATAACGCCTTATAATACAAACATAAAACCTTTTAGAATACTTAAATGCCTACCTTTTATGAATTAGGGATGAACTAATACTAGGATTTTGAGCATGAACCAACAGTGCAGTATTATGTTTTCTGAGGTCAACCATTATAAACATGACACAACCTGAGATGGACAGCTGTACAGATTTAATAAATAAAGAACTAAAGGTTATGTGTTGCATATGTTATGGAAAGTTGCTCCCCACAAGACTTACTTGGGTACCAGGAGTCAAAGGTCTAACTCTACCTTTTGTAGAAAATCACCTGTTCTCTTGTTAAAGAATTTGACTCTGCAATGTTTCAATTACAGAGAAATGATTGTGACTCTAATAAACAAAAACATTCCTGAACATTTGTTAACTGTTTGGAAATATTCTAAATCTAGTACATAGACCAAAAGGGTTTATTCTCACCCATCAGGCATATTTTAGAGCATCCTTTCACAACAGATTATAGTAGTAAAATAAGTAGTAGTAAAACAAGCCAGAGATAAGAGGTTGCTCCCTCTAAATAAAATACATGTCAACTCAAAAGAGTTCAGAACACCCACATTCTTTAAGCCACCGTTAAGCATGCATTTGTTACAAAGAAAACCCTATTACAAAGGGGTTTTAATAGGAAACCCTATTACATCAATGAAAAACAAGAGCAGCCCACAGATAAAATCAGAAAATGCCATAAACCGGTTTACTGAAACCGGTATAGAAAGCAAGGCCAACCAAGCATCCTCTATAAGGCTAAAACACGGCTTATGTTGAATGAAAGGGATAAAAAAAAAAAAGGAAAGCAATAGTGAGCCGCAAAACTGCCATGTCAAAGCTGGAGGAGTCGGTGGCTTCCTTTGCATAGGATTAAAAACTGTGGGGTGTTTAGGATAAGATTTTTAGAGACATTTTATTTAAAAGAGACTCGAAACAGAGGCTGCGACGGCATTTCAAGCCTCCAGCAACTCTTTGGGGTGCTGGGAAAAAAAAGTATTTTGCACCCCCCCAAAGGGAGAGAGGGAGGATGCAGCGCCAGGAGCCCCTCTTCGGGCTGAGGCTTCCCCGAGGCGACATCCACTTGCCCCAACCTCCAGGGCGGGAGGGGAAGATGGGTGTGGTCGTCCCCAGGCCCTAGTTAGCAGCAGCAGCCCCAGGCCGGGGAAAGGCTCCCGCCCACCTTCGGCGTTGCAGGGAGGGAGCAGCCCCTCCACACTTGGGCGGGCAGGGCAGCTCAAGCTGCAGGAGGCGCCCCTCCCAAGGGCGGCGGAGCTCAGCCATCTCGCCGGGAAAAACGGGCTGCGGGGAGGGGGGCAAGAGGCCGCGCGGGGCTCCCTAGGCTGAAGCCCAGCTCGGCGGCGCCCCCCAACCCCCCCACCCCGCAGCCGGCCTTGCAAAGCCGAGTCCCCCGCCCCGCTAAGGGGGGAAAGGATGCCATGGCGTCCCGTCCTCGCTCCCCCCGCCCAAAGCCGCCCCCTCGGCGTCTGAAGGCCCGGCCCGGCTTCTCACCAGAGGCTCTGGCCTTCCTCCTCCTCGCTGGGGAGGTCTGCAGCCAAAGGCCCGTCCGGCTCCAGCAGCTTCTTCTCAGCCAACACCGGCGCCATCTTGCCAACGGCAGCCGCCACAAAGAGTGACCTCATCCGCCCAGGCTCCGCCGACAGGACCCCCGGCTTTCCCACACTCTCGGCTAAGGACCCCGCCTGCCCCGACAGGTGCCTGTTCTTTTTTCTTTTTTCGGACCCTCTTAGAAGCCTTTCCCATCGCCGGACATGCGTTCGGGGCTTCCTCCGTGGCTTTCACTCTACAAGGCGTGGTTTTGAAGGGGGAGAAGCTTTGGTCCTCAGGGAAGGCTGAGCCATCCATTTCAGTCAGGCAGTTTCGAGGACACCTACGACAGCGGATTTCCCCCCGCCCCCCCAACCGCCGCCCGCTGGACGATGAGTTCAAGATTTTCGGGGCCGCCGCCCAGTTTGCGCCAAATAGGGACCCCTAGTGGCGGCAAGGAGCACAGCGGGCTCTTTGGTTACGCCCGAAGGTTTCAACACAGGCACAATACGGTAATAGCACGGTTTAGCCCCGCCCCCTTTTCTCACTTACTACTACACTAAGAGGATGCGGAGCTTTGCAAAGGGCATAAAACGGAGTCACGCCGCTTTGTAGCAGCATCAGTTGCCAGACCGGATTCCGTTGCCGAGAGCTTGAAAAGCTCAAATGGCTAGAAGGAACGCAAAAGCAGAGCGCGAAGGCATAATTCAATTTAATAAACGTTAGACTCATGGGCTTCTTAGTCATTCTTTTCAAATTTATTTCTTACAGATGTTATTATACACTTGCTTAAAAGGCAGCGTGATCCTTTTGAATGTATGCAATATAGGCAACATAATTGCACCGGGCAAATAACGTATCTTCCAAATGAAGTCTTGGTGGAAAGAGCATCTAACTGTACAATCTCCAGTTACAAAGCAAGTATCCTGCATACATCCAAGCTTTTGTTACAGGCCATTTTCACAGAGGTTGGGTATTTCTGCTCTTTCCATTCTTCTGTAAAAGAGAAAAACCGACACAAAGCTAAACCTATTGTATCAATTACTCATTGCTTCTGATGTGGCTGAAGAGTTGAAGTAATCAGGAAAGGGGTATGACTAGCATTTATTACTGGTTCCTCCATCACCATCTAAGATCACATTTCTTAGTCTTTCTAAGCTGATTTATCTAACTAGCTATTAATTTTTAAGGTCTCTGCTACTCTCAATCCATGTACAAAACAGCTGTAAAACAAAACAAAAATACCTGTAACCTGCAGTATTTCTTAGCAAGATCAACATTTGTCCGTCCTTTCTGAAATGGGTAGGCCCATAAAATTGAATTCCAATGATGCCCCATTTTCCTTACACCTTCCAAAAGATAACTTATTTCTTCTGATGTAAAATCTTTCCTGATTCTCCTTTTCTTTAAAGTTGTTGTAGAGCTATTTGATAGTGTTTCAGTATTCTGCAATAGTAATTGAAACAGCACACCAAGAGTTTTGAATAAGCCCTTTCAACAAAGAACACTTATCTGGTGTTAGAATTTATACCCAGATATTAATGTACAAAATGTTGATATTTAGCTGTCCATACCTCCTCTTCAAATGGATGGTTTTCACTCAGATCCTGGTCTTGAAGGCTATAAATCTGTTTCATTGTTTGGTTCTTAGAATGTGCATCACTCTGAAAACTTGCTGTTTGAAACAAAACATTATTTGCTTATTCAGACTTTCTGAAAATTACCATAGAACTGAGCTAAACTAGATATTACTACCAGGGATAAAGATTCTTTGACACACCTAACTCTTTCACAGTTGTTGAGCTTCCCTTGCAGCTGAATCTCCATTCATTGTGATTACCATTATTATATGCAGAAGTATTCTTGTTAGCCATTATGGATCTTCTCAACTTTCTTTTATATTCCGTCTCAGATTCTAGAATAATTTTGTGTTGTTCACACAGATATTGACAAGACTGCAGAGTCTTGCTAAAGTTCCGGCTGTTTAAGGAAAGTCTACCTATTCTACAACCTGAGAATGTAATATTATATAAATAAAATGTTACAGGTGCAAGACATTAAATTATTTAATATTTATTTTCTGCTTTAACCACATTGTGATAAATGTATCACTAAATCAAGAAAATCAATAGATCTATAGAAATATTGCCCTACAGGTCAATTATATCCTCATAAAAAAGCCCAAACAAGACTTTTCAAGCTAGGCAAGGAAGAAGCCAAGTTATATAGTAGCAGCCCCCCTCCACCCCCAAACGAAAGTATAATATTGGTATGTAGCCACAGGGAGGGCAGTCCCAGAAAATTTTACTCCTTATCCATGCCATCTTGTTATACCCATATTGATATGGCTAATATTAGGCATGTTGCACAGCGCTCCCAATAATTTTCATTACTTTGGATAGGCTGGCTGGCTGGCTGAAATCGTATTTGGGGTGTCACTACTGTTTAATTCAGTGAGACTTTCTTTTGAACAGAAAAATCTATGAGCATATTTAATTTTTTTTAATTACCCGAACATCTGAGTTCTCTTATTTTAGGGGGAACAGTCAGAATATGGCCCACTCCTCTGCTTGGGTTCCTTGGATAGTGTAGCTCTTTGAAAAATAAAATATCCAATGTGAAATGCATTAAGCAATGGGTGTATTTACTTTTATATATCACCACTATATTTTAAAAGAAACTGAAATGCAGTAATACACATCAACATATATAAAAACTAATTGCCAACTAACATTTCCAGTTTAAATTTTTGGTTTATCAATTTAATCACTAACTCTGTTATACTAGTTTCCTTTGTATAAATACAGTAACACAGGACTTACATTGTTGATATTTATTTTACATATTGATTCAAGTCCTTCAAAAGATTGTTAAAAAGAATTAGAATCATAAAGCAAACTTACTTTGATGTAATACTATTCTATACAAGCTAGCACTTAGCTGTTTTGAGTTGCACATCACAGAATGAAGATGTGTACCTTTCAGCCATCCATACAAAAAATATATAATTTCTAAAAATCAAATTGAAATTAAAATATTTAGATATTTTACCTGAATGTTGAATCTTTTGCATTGGGCTTTTTACTACAAAATCTGGTTTCTTAAAAATGAATTCACTGAAAAGATTAAGAGAGTATTATTGAGAATTTTACTTTGGAAATTTGACAAATGCCTCAAAAATACTTCAATCTTACATATTGCACCACTAACTGAGGAACATACAGTGTTCATTCATGGGTATCCACAGCCAAATCTGTCAAATAATCAAACCAATGTTGTACTTTTGTGCCACAAATTCCATCTTATTTCAGCTCATATATATAATACTATGACATGCATGTAACAATGCAGGGCTTGCACAATATTGCTTTATCACACTGATCCATTTGATGTTTCACATTCAAACTCAAATATGAAAAATTCTCCCATCCTATCATTATTATTGACGTGAGGAAAAATTCACAGAATAACACACATTGTTCCTGCATATCGCATTATCTAGAAGTCATGAATTATTATGAAAGGTACAAGTTGATTTCTGTCTTTGAGAGAAACATTTAGATAACAAAGCTTCCCATACAATTCAGGATAAAATTCTAGCCTGTTCAGAATTCATTACAAAACTTAAAAAGGAATTAAATAGTATAAGAGGCCTTTTGTAACTTAAAATAACTGGATCCATCTTAAGCATAACTAAATCTGGAAGCAACCCAAAATGACATTTCTACCTGAAAATCTGATTTACTGTTAAGATCAAACTAGCAAGCCAGCTTTAGACAGAAGATCCTAGGTACAGTACCTTGCTTGAACATCACCTTTCTTAAAGTCACAAAAGCTTTTTTTATTTGTAGTGTAAGCTTCATTTATGCTGGGTGTTGTTATTTTTTCAGTTGCATAAAGATTATTGTGATTGTTTGGGGCGAGTGAAGCATCAGTTGAATTCCAAAAGGCAGACTTCACTTGTTCTCTACTGGAAGAACTCTTTTCAAATTTAGAAGTAGTCTGCACTTTAGAAATAGTATTTTGTAGTGGATGTTTCATTTCTAAATATATTTTGCCGTTATCTGATGGCTGCTTGCTGGAATTTGTTTGATGATGTTGGGTCATAGCCTGCAGAAACTTTTCTTGAGGGGTATCTTCATCAATTAATATTTCTCTTCTGATGTTTTCCTATGTTTAAAAACAGTAGGGAAATGAAACAAATGCACAGAGACAAAAAACAAAGTTGCAGGATAGGATCAGGTCCAACATGACTGTAGATGTTAAACAGAACTAAGCAAACATTATACCTTCTGTTTGACTATAAAAACAATAGGAAGCCAGTGAAAAATTGCTTTCAATCATGTGGTTATAATCCATTAATTTAGTATCATGATTGAATATTTATTTCAGCAATAATTACTTTCAAGAAATCAAACCTATATGCAAAAGAATACTCAAAATACCTAGAAGGGGCCATAAGCATTGATTAACAGGGGAGTGGAATTTCACTCCATTTATTTTTAAAATGCAAATGAGCATAGCTCATTGAGTTATTAATTCCATTAATTGAAAGACTAGAATAAAACAATACAATTAGATTCTACTGAGAATGTCTGGAGAGGCTTTCTGATGTTGACAGTTTTCCTCAACTACTAAGAAAGAAAGAAAGAAAGGAAAAAAAACCTCTTGTTCATTTTCAAGCCCTTTGATTCTGTATAAAATTTGTTTTGCTTCGTTCCAATAATCTTCAAGAATCCTCTCTTTGTTCTGCCAATCCACTTCCAATATTCTTCTTTCATCCTCTTGGAATGAATGCTGATTCATCTTCACCGACAATTTTTCAGCTAGTGAAAAAAGAAAAGAAACAATTGTTTCACAGAAATAAAGATGTATATTTGTGTTAATGACTTAATAAATTACATCCATCACCATCTCATGTGTAACATATTTAAGGTTTGAGTTGTATCAAATAAAATATTTTATTCACACAAGAAACCACCCAAATGACCAAAATGGATTGTTTAATAGCAGTTTCTTGATCTAAGCATTTCTGGATGAAATCATCCACTCCAATCATGGAGTTTTAGCATAGGATAAAACAACTGAGGGCACAGCATTAGATGCCACTAGGAAAATTTTAGAAAGATTTGCTAATTTTATAGCATCGCTTCACAAAAACACATTCTCAATCACAATATTAAACTTATTATAAAATAATTTTATAATTTATATATTGGAAGATAGTCTAACAAATACAATTAGTTTCAACCTAAATAACTGATTTTTGCAACAGCTTCAAATACTGAGAACTTGGATACAGTTGTTACATGATTATGGTATATGACTATGGTATTTAGATACCTGTCCAGGTGATTTTAAATACAGAAATCAAAATAATGATAACTTACTCATCTGTTTGCAGTTTTGCAACACAAAGGTAGCAGCTTTATTTAGTTCATCATCCTGCATTTCAGTTAATGCTTGAATCATAAGTGGAAGACCATTGTTCTTAATCAGAGTATATTGACTTTCCTCTAAAATAAATCAGCCTCAGTAAACACATTTGTTCAAACTGTAAAATTATCTGAAAACAACTTTCAAAGAAAAAGCAATTGATTCTGAGTTTTTCACCACAACTTTACTTAATCAGAAACATGTGACCTCACTTACTTCAAACCTCAAACTCCCAGAAAGGTCTAAAATTTAAAGTCACATCTGGCTATCATGGCCAACTTACCATCAGCAGTTGATTGTTAGGATATATCATAAACTCAAGAACTTATATTAGCTTAAAACTATAATAGTTTTCCACAAAAAAATAATTCAAAAGTTATCCTAAAACATAGTTATAGAGGATACACATCAACCAATGCATAATTTAAAGTGTTATGGATCACCAACTTGTAGTTTGTAAATTACAGTTTATGGCTTAAGTTGCCCAAATTAGCCATTTTTAGTTTATTCAATAAGCCATTTTAAGCTAACTGTAGCATACTATTATGTGTAAACACAATCAGTAGTAGTTCAAAGTATACAGTAAATATTTTGGCAGAGGTCAAACATGAGAATGATTCCCACAATTCCACAATTTGTCAAGCTAACAAACCACAATTCCTAGATATTGTCAAATCCTATTTGTATTTGCTCAGAACTTCTCCCTCAGATAAATGCAGAGACAATTACAAATTGCCCCATTTAGGGTGCAAAGTTCTATTAAATTGTTGGAATTACTTCATACATGTATTTTATTGGACTCACATCACTAGGAACTTCCAATATTTTATTTTGGTTGATTTTTACATTTAGATGAAAGCTAAATGCAACTTCAAAAATCAGACATAAGTTATTCTATCACTATCAGGTTGGTCATTCTTGTTTATTGTTATAAACTACAAGTTGAAATTTGAATGCAGCCTGCACCTTAACGCAGCACTCACTACCCTCAAATAAAAAAGTCAAAATATCATTAAGAATCTTACCACAGACTTCTGTACAATGTCCAAGAGTAAGTATAATGCTGAATCGTTCTCCTGAGTCCAAAATGTTATAAGAAAGCAGTTTCAGTAGATTAGGCACAATGTTATACTTTGGTAAATGAACGCCAACTGCAGCTGTAAACACAAAACAGTTTTTTTAAAAAATGCCTCTTTAGATATGCAATAGAATGCAAGAAACCATATGCGAAATTGTACATTTAGGAGAACCTTCTGTACCATTGTTTCCAGTTTTTTCCAAACTTTCTCTCCAGATCAAATGTTACTATCTGTGCACAGTAGCCATGATAAACACAAGGATATAGCAATAGCAATAACACTTAGACTTATGTACAGCTTCACAGTGCTCTTACAGCCCTCTCTAAGCAGTTCACGGAGTCAGCCGATTGCCCCCAACGATCTGGGTCCTCATTTTACCTACCTTGGAAGGATGGAAGGCTGAGTCAACCTTGAGCCTGGTGAGAATCGAACTGCCAAAGTGCAGACAGCCGGTAATCAGCAGAAGGAGCCTGCAGTACTGCACTCTAACCGCTGTGCCACCGTGGCTCATATAAGAAGTGAAAATACAGGTAATCCTCAACTTACAACCACATAGTGAAACCAAAACCTTCCATCATGAAGTCAGGTGATCAATAAGCGAACTATGCCTGATGTTATGACATTTTTTTTTGCCATAGTCATTAAGCGAATGGCTTAATGTGGCTGTTCAGTGAATGCATGTTCATTAAACAAACCCAACTTCCATTGCTTGTCAGAAGCCAGCTAGAAGGTTATAAATGGCAATCACATGACCCTGAGAAGCTGCAACTGTCAAAAATACATGCTGGTTGCCAAGTGCCTGAATTTAGATCATGTGACCGTGAGGATGCTGCCATGGTCGTAAGTGCGAAGACCTGTTGTCACTTTTTTCAGTACTGTTGTAACTGTGAAATGTCTCTGAATGGTCTAAGGATTATCTGTACATTGAAGGAGATCTGGGCAACTTTCCTAATGTAACTGAAATTATTTCAACCACATTTGCAATTGTTTCAAAGAGAGTCAGAAAGCAACACAGATCCTAGCAATAAGATCAACAGATAAGATCATCTGTTACTATTAAGATAATGAATTGAGTATAAACCCACACCCAGAACACACAGTAAGTTTACGAACAGAAACTACTTACGGTTATTAGCAATGCAGGCATCCAATGTTTTTGTCACCACTACAGCAAGTTTTATATTTGCGTTGTTCCCCAATGAACCGTGCATCAGTTTGAAAAGAAGCTCGTCCAAAACAGCTAATCCCCCAATAGAAATAAAAAAATTCTGCGTTCTTGCTTGGAAAAAAAATAATCCAAAGAATAAACAATTACCAGATTGCTTTACAATACAGGTTTTTAAAGTTAAAGACATTATAAAGTTAAAGAGCTTTGGAGAGGGGAGCAATGTTTAATTAGCTCTTAAATTATGTTAAAGCAGATAAATAAAACAAAATCCTAAATCAAAATAAAAAAATCTCTAAAGGAATCTCAAACTCAGTTGTAACCGCATTTATAACTGAGATAGGTGAACAAACCCAAAATGTGTAACTGATATACACAAAACTAGTTTATTCCACAAGATTCATAAAATAAGTACAGTAAGAAACTGAAAGAAATATTAATGTTCTCATATAAATCTTAAAAATTTAGATTTCTAAATAACCTTTTTCTGAATAATTCATGTTTGGCTTGCACAACGCATCAAACCATGCCTTTTGTAGCCTTTAAATCTCCTTTTTGCTATTCCTAATCCCTTCAATGGCATTGCCAAATTTTGGATTTCATTATTTTTAGAAAGGAAATGGAAACTGTAGCATTAACTTAAAACAAACCTAATAAGAGAAAGAAAAATCATACAATTAAACAAAAAAAGGAAAGGAAAATATATGCCAGCCTTGCTACATAGACTACACAACCTCCCTTACTTCACATCATCACTTCATCCTGTCAAAATCACATTTGAGTTTTTGTCGCACATCAGGACACTCTATCTCTTTTCTTTCCACTTAGGAATGATATTTTATTCCACAAACATTTTCATACAGTGTGTACTATTAGATACTTACAATTATTTGCAACAGTGAGACCAATGAATGAACATATTGGGCGAATTATCTCAGCCTTCATACTACTTTGCAGCCAATATTTTGCATATGGAAAAACCAAACTGCAGGCTTTCTGATTTTCCTCTGGAGGGGAACAAAATATGCTTTGAACATCAGCCATTTGTCATCCCCTCCCACCTATTTACAGAAGAAGAAGGAGAAGGAGGAGGAGGAGGAGAAGAAGAAGAAGAGCTTGATAAACAAACTAATTACCATTCTGAGGATTGTTGACACATACACAAAGATTACTACAAACCGAGGACCACAGATGATACTGATCAATTTTACCATCGAAAAGGTTAATTTGAGATTCTGAAGGAATTACTCTGTTCAAGAAAATAGATGACATAAAATGAAAAAGGTCATTTGGGTCTATAAAAATTACTTTTTAATTGATTTTTTTTAGGGTTGTTTACCTGAATAAGTGTAGCAAAATATCGAGGCATCCAGATTCTCTCACATGTGTTTGTCCACTGTCTATATTTTTAAATAACATTTTTTTAAAAAAATAAATAGAACAAGTATTAAGCAACTAATAATGAAATTTAGTGAGTGTTTACAAATTTTCAACATTTTACCTAAAACAAACTAGGATTTCTGATTCATCCCAATTAGATGGGAACCAATTTTAGTAGTCTTCATATTGTTAAGTAAGGACTATCTGTATATATATGTGTTGAGTAATTTCTTTATTATGGAGAAGAAAAAAATCTTACTATTATTTGAAGCCAGCACCAGTAAGACATATACAGACATTCTTTTCAAATTCATACTTGAATCCTTATTAGTTAAAAATGTGTGAAGATCCTTAAATAATTCAGCTGTGCATAACATCTGTTGGCAGAACACTAAAAAAATAAATATAATGTAAATAAGACTACACAGTATTGTATCACATTAATTGATAAATACAATTGAATTTCCTGATAATTATGCTAATTCCCCCCAATAACCCAGATTGTTGAGGACAAATATGATGGCATTGTAAACCACCTTAGAGAGTGCTGTAAAGTACAGTATATAAGTCTAAATGCTAGTATTATTGCTGTAATTGAGCAAATATAGGAACTCTAGCCACTGTTCTCACCCACCTAATGGAACTTCAGAAATATGGCTAGAACTACATTATAATGGTAGCTTTGGGAACATAAAATATTTCAACATTTAATATTTATATTTCATAAAATTATTCAAGTACAGAAATAATACCCAGATTGAAACATACACACTCTCTTGAGAGTAGTTCTAAATAGATAAGAATAGGATTGTATTCTAAGAGTGTTTCAATGACATTTAGGGAGCTTATTTTGATGGGAATTGAAATAATTTCATAGCAACCATGACTTCAAGTACTTATTTCATTTATGCATCTCTTTATTAATATTTGCAGAATCACTTATGAGTTTAAAGGTGCATTCGTATAAAATCAACCAGAATAATGAAGTATTTTCATAGCGTTGACTCAATATTTATGTTCTTTAATTTTCCTTCTGTAGAAAAGCTGACATTTCAACATCTGGTGATGTTTAAAATACAGCTGGCTCACCATCTTCTGCCCCTCCACCTGAGCTACTGGTACATAGAAATTTCCTTGATAAAATTATTTTTCAGGTGATCAGATTTTAGATAAAAAGTAAAATATTTTTAAATGCACATGTTATTGTACAATGTAATGTACTGATCTTCAAAAATGGATCAATAAAAACAAAGGATTCTGTAAATACATGAAAGAATGGTATAATGAAATGAGAATGAAATTGTGTCTTACCATTATTCTCAGCCAAACCTCCTATTGTAAATAAAGCAGCTTCTTGAACCAAACTGTGCACTTGTGACTTTGCAAGATTCCATACAAATATCAGACCTCCTATTTCTCTAAAATACTCACAGGCAGCACCTGTAGCAAAAACAGATCTAGTGAATAATGGATGATGTTTTAAAAGAACATTTATTTCCATACTAATAATCCCAAAGAGCCAAAACAAACACAATAGACCTACAATTGTAAAACTCAATGACTTACCGTTTTGTTGACAAACTGAATAAATAGTAACCAAGGCTTCTTTTTGAGAAGCTGGATGGTCCATTTGATACTTAAGACATTCAAGGAGTAAATTTAGATCAGTTTTCATATCTGAAAGGATAAAACAATAATTTCAGTATATTTAGAATCTTTTTTTAAAGTTGTCAATGGCAGAATCTTGTCATCTGGAACAGCTGATTGCACCAATGTTAAGAATGCCAACAATATTCTAAACAATTACTAGTTAGTGTGAACTAAGTAGAAATATTTTTTTTAATAAATGGGAATTGGTTGTTAATCCATGTCTTTATACGTGGAAGTTTGAACTTGCGTTAGCATTCACAAACACCAGAAAAAGAACTATTTCCATAGTTGTGAATACACAGAGCAGATTTAATATCATCCTTTAATACATTGTGTCTATGCCAATCTTACCACAATTGATTTTCTGATCTTTTCCATTTTCCATTTTGATTCTATTTTTTCCTCAGCTTTTATCTACAATAAAGAAGGTGGAAGAGAAATAAAACACAAGTGATTTCTTCATTATAAATTAAAAAGTAGGAAAAATGGTATATAAAATTTATTCAGTTTTTTTATCCATTCTATCCCAACTCAGTATAGGACACAAAATTAAATATCCAACACTTCCCTTTGTCTATGTTTTGTAAAGAGTAGCTTTACAAAACACCCAGGCTTGGTCTGGGGCATCTGCAGTCCAAAATGTTGAAATGGAGGTATAAAAAAACAGGTGGATCTGGTACTGTACCTGGAATTTTATGCTTCATTATTAGCATTTTAAAAAGGCAATATTAGCATTTTTAACATGGTAGTCCAGGCCTCTTCTAATTTTAAAAAAGCATTTTTCCCTTTGTATTCAAGACCATTTCTTTTGGTATGCAAGAATTTGCCTTTTCAACAATTAAACAACAGAAATACACTTGCAAGATGCAAATGTTGATGGAAAAGGGAATAATTTATTTTATAGCTTAATTCATAAATATTCCACTTCTGGAATATTACCTAGAACCAATGTTTTCTATTAATCATTTCTCACATATAATTCATGTCTTTGAGCGCTCGCTTTCTAACGTAACGCCTATACCAAATCTATGTATCAATTGTTTCTGTACCCTATAAAAAGACTTGACCCTCCTCCTTAATAAATGTTTTTTACTTTGCCTGATTTACTGGGCGATTTGCATTTTCAGGCAGGCAAAAAAGCCTCCTTGCAAAGATTAAACAGTATTTTGCCTCTCAGATTCAGAGAATGGGTCCTCAGCTCCACGCCATTCAGGGTGCTTGAATTTCAAGGCAACAAAATCAAGATGGCAGAATAATAATAATAATAGTAGTAATAATAATAATATATAATAATAAAAAAACAGGTGAAACTTCAGAGGGCAATATTGTAGCCGCCATCTTGACTTTTTTTGCTGACACCCTGAAGACACCCCTGGGCTGGATTATAAACAAATTACGTTCCAATAAAGGAGACATATTAGGACATCAAGAGATATACGAATCCAGCAAATGGGGCCTGTCAGCCATCTTTAACAGAAAACGTCTTCCTTGAAGAATAAAATGGAAATTTGAAGTCAAAACCACACACTTTGTCCACTGTTGACAATAGATACGTTCGATGCCACCCAGTTGAAACAGGATGAGACTGAATCAATTCAGAGAACATCTGCAATTAGAATTGAAGGCCTGACTTTCTCTTGTGCAAAACGGGGCGCTTTTCTGAAACAATCACAAATAAATGCAGCCAAGCCCTCCCCACAAAAAAGACGCCCCTAAGGAGAATTTTGTTTCTTCCTAAGAGTGCCTTATTTTACACAGGTCTTCAATACAGTGGGTGTTTTGTAGACCTCTTTAAAATAAATGTGTCTGCCTCTCACATGGACAAAACTCCTCTCCTGCCAAGCTGCTCATGTCGTTCAATAGCAGCCCACCTCACCAGGTGCCCACCAGGTAAATTGGAACTACAAGTCCCAGCATTCTTAGCTCAGCACCTCCACCCCACTGCTCAGCTGACTCAGAGGGAAGTCAAACCAGGAAGCAAATGATAAAGCTTTTGAATTTGCCTCTGGTCTTGGCTGAAAGGGCCTGGGATGATGGAAATCTGCAGGCCACCAATCTGCCCTTCCAGCATTTAGCCACCTTGATGTGGCCTTTACAAGTCTGAACACTTCATCTCTTTCTTGTTTCCCACCAAGCTGCCTATGTCATTCAATAGCAGCCCACCCCACCAGGTGCCCTCCAGGTAAATTGGAACTACAAGTCCCAGCAGTTTTTTCCCTGGAGGGAAAGCAATGATAGCAGGTCCTTTTCATACACAAATAGGCTCCCTGAGATGTTCCCACTACATTTTAAGAAGAGATTGGACTGCCATTTGTCAGAAATGGTGTAGGGTCTCCCGCTTGGGTGGGGGGTTGGGCTAGATGACCTACAAGGTCCCTTCTAACTCTGATTATGTGTTATCTAAGTGCAGTGACATTGCAACTTTATCTCCTGTACTGGTAAACCTCAACTCATGACCACAATTGGGACCGAATTTTGTTTTACCAATGACCCATAACATCCTTTCCAAGGTAGATTACCCAATTTTGAAACTTAGTGCGCAGCTACTAACTGGATGAAAAAAATCTTGTGAAGTCCATATGCAGAATGGAATAGAATAGAATAGAATAGAATAGAATAGAATAACAGAGTTGGAAGGGACCTTGGAGGTCTTCTAGTCCAACCCCCTGCCTAGGCAGGAAACCCTACACCACTTCAGACAAATACACAAGTCTCAAATTGAGTATTTCCATTTGGGCCAAAACACTGTTCTAGTGACAGAATTAGAGTAGATATCAACAATGATTTTGCACTGAAATGTTCTGTTTCAAGAGCAGCCATTTTTAAAGGGTTTGCTTTTCTCAAAATATAAATAAATCTTGCACAGCCCATTAAAAACGTTTATTGTAGGTAAACCAGAACACTGTATCATAATATCATGAATTATTTTCCAAAACGTTTTACATTTTCTTAATCGTTTAAAGACACATTCATAATATTGAGAATAACGCTGCATATTATAGTGAGTGGGTTCTAGAATTTAGACCACAGCTGATCGTAGAAGAAAAACTGAGCAGTGATTTTTGTCAGCTCCATTCCACTGCAGCCAAGTATCTCCGAAAGCTGCCATAAGCATTGTGAAAACCTCCAAAACGTCGTCAAAAAGATATTGGTGTCAACAACGAAAAAAATCAGTTTAAAATTGCTGCCTTTTTCTTTGCCGGTAGCTTTCAATGAATGTCCAATTCCTTTTGTGAACCAGTATTTTCATGTAGTATATCTGTATGTTACTCATTAACACCACTGCACATTTGCTTCAAACAGTTATTTATTTAGCACAAATAAATGTTTAAAAATACTTTCCTGAGTCCTGTAAACCAGCCAATGTTTTTTGTGTTTTATTCCAATTTGAAAGAATTTAGAAAGACAAAAATAATATAAAGAAAGGAACAGTAATCTTTTAAGCATTACTTTTAACAGAACAGAATGCAAATCAAAACCAGTTACAGGTTCCAACAATGCAGTTGGGTTGGTTTATAGTTTGAATGTTGCTGAGGTCTGAGACATCCCATTGTAAATGTAGGTGTTATTAAATATTACAAATTGCCTGGTAACAATTTTCACAACTTCCTGAGCAGCAGCTCCTGTAAAACAGCCAAGAAATGATAAATTAATAGTAGGTAACAGAAGCCAATTGAGTCAAATCCAAATGCATATTTTCTAGCTGTACTTTTTTAATCAGATGCTACCTTGCATCAATGGGATATAAAAAGCTTTATTTTTAAGAAATAAAGCATGAATACTCTCGTGATTGGCTCAGCTCAATGACCAATTGCACTTTTTCCATGTTAAATCTCTGGCAGATTCAAGTTTTTCCTGGCAGAAGCTTGTCGATAATCTGAATTTGTCAGTTGAGACCCCTTATATAACCTATCATCAACAAGAGAAGTTGGGTAATAGGCACAAGAAAATTCAATTACCAACTTCGCTCCCTGAGAAATTATGGTAGGATCTTCATTATTTTCATTAACAGTTTGTGATTCCAAATTCATTTTAGTTGATCCTCCCAATTAAAATTCAAATAGGGCAATTTAATCCGGGGAATTTTACGTGCATCTAAGATTTGTTGCAAAAGAATACTGGCTGAAGTTTAGAGTTTATTTGTTTAATATCTCAGAACATATATCAAAATATACTAACAACTATAGAGTACGAACTAGTATTATTGTACATGTATAAACTTTGGAAACAATTTTAAATCTGAGACATTTTTATCAGAGCAAAGGGAATTATATCAGTATAATGAATAGTTACTACCTCTAATTAACCCAAAGATATTATGAGTACAATGGACATGCAAATACAAAGTAGTATCAATGTAAGACATACTAAATCTTTTTCATGTCAATTGGCTTGTGGTTCACCATGGACACATAAAAAAAGCTTTTTACCTCCTAGAAATGCTGCTGTGGTGTGTGGCTCAGCAGCTCCATATCGACAACTACAAAACAAAATAAAGTTGTCATATTATAATGCATAATAATAATATCTTGGAAAGTATATTTGCAATTTAACACTTACAATTCATGGACATAATCATCTTTGACTGCTACAGGCAATCCATATTCCTGAAGAAAACTATTAAGGCAAGATTTCAGTTTTCCAATGTCATCCTCCACTTGATAGTTATAAACCCCTGAAAAAAAGATATGATTATTATAGACAGAACTATAATAAATTAAACATAATTTTGTTAGAGAAGAGAATACTCTTCTCTACTTTTTGTTAGAGAAGAGAATACTCTATCTCATAGAAAAATATACTAAGCAGAAGAGCATCTCTAAGCCTTTAAAGTACATTAGACTTATCAAATATACCCACTTACAAGAGATTAAAACTTCAATCTGTGACACATTTATACATTTGAACAGAGTGCTATTAAGGCTGTATTACAGAAAGTATTCATTTTTATTTCAGAAAGCATATGATATATTGAAAACAACCTTACCAGGGTATCTACCATTGTGTTTAAAGAATCTGTCCACAGCTCGTAACATTAGGTACAGCACCATTTCACTATCTGGATTATCCATATGGGAAGCTTCAAGTAACAAAACAACATGTAAATTGCAAACAATCAAGAGAAAATTGTTAAAGGCCTGAAATTAACAATTAAATATGTTTCCAATTTCTCAACTTCTTCCATAGCATATTCCATCTGCTATGAGAATGTTTCCATATTGTATTTATATCTCTTCCTCTCTATTCTTTGCATCCGCCCTATGTCATGTTTACACATTTATAGGTAAGAACATATAGTCAGCCTACATGACAGGAGACTTAACTATATGTTAAAGAGCTGCATGAGGTGCTTTAAGTGCTGAAGAGGAAGCAAATAAATAAACT